TAGTTAACCTATACACTATAATTAATAAAGAAGTTATATAGGCTTATTAAGACCTTCTAGTTAGTTACCTTAAAGTTATTTATAGACTATTTATAAAAATCCTTATAAGTATAGTAAAGTAATTTACTACTAATATAGTTATAATACTTATAACTACTAATATAAAATATAATAATAGTATTAAGTATAAGAGCTTATTACTTCCTTATAAGGTTAGTTAGTAACTTCTTAATATAGTCCTTTCTTTATTACTATAAGAGGATATACTATATAAGGTTAGTAAGTATAGTAAATATATTATTAATTACTACTACTTACTACTTTACGTTAAGTAGTATATTATACTTACTATAAACCTCTTTTTATTACCTTATAAGTAATAAGGTAGTAGCTTATAACCTTTACTTATCTATAAGCTTATTATACTTACTTATTTTAGCTTAGGTCTTTTACTTATAGGTGTAGTATTATTTACTGTTGCCTTTTATTAGCCTAATAACCTCTTAAATATAGGCGTTTCTTTTAGTAGACTAGAAGGTATATATATTTATTAAAGGGATTACTACTAGTAGTATAGATAGTTAAGAAAAAATATACTTTTATAAGTAAATAACTTAGAAAAAAACAATAGGCTATTATATTAGCTACTTATTAATACTATTAGTTAGTAAAAAGAGGGAAAATAATAGGCTATTATATTAGTAACTTATTAATACTATTAGTTAGTAAAAGGAGTATATATATAGAAAAAAAAACAAGTTAGTAAGCTAAAAAGCTTATAATAAATAAGATATAGTAAATAATTACTAGTTAGCTATAGGTATATAAAGTAAAAGGTTTTTTATAGTTAAAAATACTTCTCTAAAGGTAATAAAGCTTATATAATAAATATAAATTAATAAGGTTTTTACTAGTTAAAGAGACTAGTTATAGATCTATTAATTAACCTATTATAATAAGTAATTAGTATAAACTATTATAGTAAAGGTATTTATAGAGGCGTTTTTTAGTACTTACCTACTTTAGGTATATAAATAATTAACTAGTAATAATTACCTCTTCTTATAGTCTTTACTAATCTATAGTTTAGATAGTAAAGTTAACCTATATAGTTAATAGTAAAGTTAACTACTAATTAGTGTTAGTAATACTAAGAGATAGGTTAATATAGTTAACTATATATATTAGTAGTAATTAATAAATAATAAGGGTAACTATAGTTCTTTATTATATATAAAGAAAAAAGGATAATTATTATAGGTTAGTTAGTTAAATAACTAACTTATTGCCTATAAATCCTTAGAGAATCTATAGCTAAATATCTAAGGATTTACTAGCAATAAGTTATTAGGGTTAACCTAATAACTCTAATATTTATCTATAATAGTTAATATTACAACAGTAATACTTTAGTTAACACTAAAAGAGGTTACTATTAGATTAATAGTATTCTTATAGTATATAATAAGTCTTATTTTTTATTCTTTATCTTAGGCTAAAGTATAAATAGTTTTAATAACTTTTACTTAAGTAAATATTTTATTATTATTAGTATAGTACTTATAAGTATCTAGTAGTTAAGTCTTAAAGTAGTTAAGTATAAAAATAGCCTAATAATAGTTAAAGTTCTTACTATAAAGGCTAGTAATATAGCTTTAAAAGTACTAAACTCTTATAAAGGTATTATGAAGAGTTTTATAGTCTTAGGTACTACCTTTACTAAATTTATTAATAAAAGTAGTAATAGTATCTTTAGATACCTTAGAGATAAACTTTTTAAGTGTTTTTATAAAAGTATATAAGTTACTATTATTAACTTAGCCTATATTAAAAAGCTTAATAATTATAAAGTTATATATACTAATAATAATACTATAAGTAGTATTATATTTATTTTCTTAATTTTTATACTTATTAGTATTAATTACTAATTAAAGGACTTTATAATTAATATATTTTTTAGCTTTAGTAATATAAAGTAATATCTTAACTAAGACTTATTATTATAACTAGTTTAACTTTCTTTTAAGCTTAAAGATAAATTATATAACTATTTAGTAGTTAACCTTATTAGCTATATTAGTAGTTAATTACTTATATAAAAGAGGATAATATAATATATTAGTATAAATAAAAGTCTTCCTTAGACTATAAATAGCCTAATAATATATTAAACTTTATATATTTTTGTTATAATATAAAGGGTATATCTAAATTATTATATAAATTATACTAATTATTAGATATCTAAGTAAAAGAGGATATAAGTAAAGGCAAAAGTAATATTTTAAGTTTATTACTTATTATTATTATTAAAAGGTAATATAACTATAGTAGATAAGTAGTTAAAATAGTAATATAAGTAGTAACTATAATATTTTATAGATATTACTATAGACTATTAAAAAAGTAAAAAAAAAGAGGTAAAGATAGCTAATTAATTAATTATTAAAAAACTTAATTAGTATTAACCTAGGCCTTATAACCTATAAGAGCAGTAAAGTAAAGTAATACTATTATATTAGTAATAACTATAATATAAAGCTAACTAAGAGAAGTAGGCTGCCTATAGTAGGCAGAGGCTAGCTAAAAAGAAGGTTATATAACCTATAGGCTTCTCTACTAGCACTATAGCTTATTTATACTAGCTATATATTAATAATAAGTTAGTAAGTAATTAATATATTTATTATTATTTTAATTTATTTTACTTATACTAGTTACTTAAAAGAAATAAAAGCTTAAGAATTATAAGATAATAGCTATAGGCACTTAACTAAGTAAGGCTTAATAGTAGGTATTAGTATATTATAAGACTTAAGCTTATAGAGCCTAGATAATAAAGGCTTTACTACTAGAAAACTAGATAGTAAAGTAAAGTACTAAAGGCTTAGTAATCTATTACTAAGACCTATAGTTATTACTATAAATCTTATTATATATATAAATAATTAACTAATAATAATTACCTTTTCTTATAAACTTTACTAATCTATAGTTTTAATAGTAAAGTTAACTTATATAGTTAATAGTAAAGTTAACTAATAATTAGTATTAAATATATTAAAGATAGGTTAATATAGTTAACTATATATATTAGTAGTAATTATTAAATTATAAAGATAACTATAGTTCTTTATTATATATAAAGAATAGAAAGATAAATATTATAGGTTAGCTAGTTAAATAACTAACTTATTACCTGTAAACCTTTAGAGAATTTATAGCTAAATATCTAAGGATTTACTAGTAATAAGTTATTAGTGTTAACCTAATAACTCTAATATTTATCTATAATAGTTAATATTATAATAATATATATTAAGCTAATTAAGTATAATAATATAAGATAATTAAAAGTTTTACTTCTTAGATTATATCTAGATTTTACCTAATTAAATACTTTCTTCTTATAATTAAGATATTAAGTGCCTTTAATCTAAGGGATTTAATACTTTACTTAAGGTAAATCTTTAACTAATTAAGGGAGTATCTTATATTACCTTAGTAGTTATTAGTGTTTTTCCTTAGATTACTATACTATATTAGGTCTTTTTACCTTATACCTTTCTAATAATAATATAGTATCTATAGAAAGCCTAGCTATAATACTTATATATTTTAGAAAGTTAAGTCTATTTTTAAAGAAGAAAATTCTAAATAGTTTAAATAAATTTAAGATATTATTATTAATTTCTTTTATATATTATTATATAAGTAGTTAAAAGTAACCTATTTACTTATATAACCTAGTTACTTATAAACTATATCATAGTTACTTTATTTATATATTAACTACTAGTAATATATATAGTTAACTATATTACTATATTCTTAGTATAACTAATTAATATATATATTATATATTTATTTTATTTTATTTTAATACCTACTCTTTATATTTCTATTAGTTAAGAAAAAATATATATACTATTAGATATCCCTTATCTATATTAGTATCTCTTATACCTTATAATACTAATGTTCATGAGTAATATTGTCTATTCCGGCCTCGTGCTTAACTGCCCTACTCTGTACACTTGGCTACACTTCGACACCGTACCCCCACTTTGCCTACGCTTCAAAAATACATTAGCCCTTGGCTCTCAATACGACCCACTCCTAGGGAACTGTCATTATGTAGACCAATGAAAGAGGAGTGCTCCGTCAACAATCCTTCTACCTTAATAATCATACTTGTTTAGCCCACGATGGCACTCTTCCGACCGCATGCTTCCACTCTGGCGAGCACCTTAAGCTTCTCCAGTGTCACTCGGCGTACGTACAGCCTAAAAACTTTGAACCTATCTTATGATTTCCACGAGCCCAGCAAGCCAGGATCAGGACCCTCTGGAAGCCCCATTATCTTTCTTCATGGGCTTTTTGGTTCCAAGAAAAATAATAGAACCATCAGCAAGTAAGAAAATGGTGACTTTCTGCTTGTGAGGGTGGCTGCTAATTGCTTCATAGAGTTCTTGCCCGGGATTTAGGTCGACCAGTCTATGCGTTGGTCAGTTTCTCAATCAAGGTACATGTTGAAATTAGCAGTTGACACGGAGAGATCAGGATCTTCGAAATCATGGTGAATCGCCTCATGATAGACAACATGATTATCTTCATATGGCCGACGACGTTGCCGGGTTCATAGACCAGCATAACCTGGAGCAACCTACTGTCATCGGGCACTCAATGTGGGTATATCCATATCCCGCAGATCCCCATTGAGATGGACACTAAAAACAATGGACGTCTGAAGGGGTGCGAAAGCCGCCATGACTCTTGCTTTGAAATCTCCCGAGCTTGTGCAAAACATTGTGGCGGTTGATAACGCGCCAGTTGATGCCGTGCTGGAGAGTTCTTTTAGCAAATACATCCAAGCCCTGAAGAAGATTGAAGCTGCCGATATCACCAGGCAAGCCGAGGCAGATCGAATCCTCCAGGAGTATGAGACTGTGAGGCTTCCCGAACCAACCGACTGCAACTCACCATGCTGACTTTGTCCTGTTGTGCAGTCCCTTCCCATCCGCCAGTTTCTCCTTGGAAATCTCTACCGGCCAGAGCCGAGTAAGCCGCAGCAGAAGTTCCGCGTGCCGTTGGACGTCATCAGTCGATCTTTGAACCACATGGGCGACTTCCCTTTCAAGGATCCGACAAAGGCCCGGTTTGAGAAGCCCGCTCTGTTCGTCCGAGGGACCAAAAGCAAGTATGTTCCCGATGACGTCTTGCCCATCATTGGGCAGTTCTTTCCTAAATTTCGACTGGTGGATCTTGATGCGGGGCATTGGTGCATATCTGAGAAGCCGGAGGAATTTCGCCAGGGTAAGGAATTCCATATACTTGGCGTCGTGTCTGCAGGCTGACTTTACTTTGCAGCCGTAGTCGAGTTCTTGAAGGAACAGGAGTAGTCAATGTGCACCACTTTAGCTCGTTGCGCAAGAAGCGAGGTCGATTGGTGACATTTGTCGTTCATAAGGAGTGTAAGAGGGCAGTTGTAGTCTGTGAGAGTGATATCCAGGTGCAGGCCAGCAAGTTGAACTTACGCCGAGGACTTCAGCCATGTGACGTTCCAGCATTTGCAGATCGGCCAATGGAAGGATACAATAGAGTGTGGAATCCCAAATAGCTTACGCAATAAATCAGGGTTTGCAGCGCAGACAGGTGTTCGCAGGTTCATTTCGAGAGCAATGTGTATGCTTGATTTGGTTGGGGGGATTGTATGGCGCTTCATACCTAGTCACTGGGCGGACGAGCTCTTCCAGTTTCGGGAACCCAATTGCATTGTTACTGCAAGAACCGCCCTCTGGTCGACGGCGGACCGCATCCAAATACCAAACGAACCCGACCATTCCACATATGACGCCTTTTTAAATCCATCCAATCGGATCCCGAAACCCAAAGTCTTGCCATCATGATTCGGAAGCGAGGCTGCGTACACACCCGGCACGGTGTATTGAAGAATTGACCATTTACCATTTTGAGGTAACCTAGACCCGCAGCCGCCTTAATGCTACGCCATGTGCAACGACCTAAAACAATGCCGATTTTGTTTCCCAGCCGATAGAGCCAGAGTCCCATTCTGCCGAAGCATCCATCATGAAGGGCCTGATTCCTTAAACCTCCTCCAGGACGCGCTCCTTGAACTCCCGCTCAACCTTCTGACCCTGGTCGTCGGTGCCAGACTCGCCGTGGAGACCCATCAGAGCGCCGAGATCGAACTTGGGCTGCTTGAGGAGCTTGACCTTGCGGATGTGAACCTAAGACAAATATATTAACTTTACATGGTCGAGTATCGTGGAAGTGGGAGCAAGCGAAACATACATTCTGAAGGGGGTAGATGCCCTGGGTGGACTTCTCAATCTCACGGCCAATAACCTCAGGGATGAGCTTGGAGGTCAGCTGGGTGAGGGTGCAGGTGGAAGCCTCGCGCTGGATGATCTCAGTCATCTTGCGGCGGATGGCACGGATTTGCGAAGAGGCGGCGTATGTCGTCTTCTTAATCTGGTTGGGGCGACGCTTGGTAAAAGCGATGGCGAAGAGGCGGAGGAGGTAGTCATCCGTGGTCTTGACGGTGACGTTGGCCTCAATAAGAGTCTGCCACTTGCGGACGAGCGAGCGGAGCTTGTCGGAGGTAAAGTCGAGGCCGTGGAAGTTGGTCAGGCAGTTCTTGCCCTGAACCTCGTCAACGCGGAGCTTAACCTTGCGGAAAGCGTGATCCTCGTCCTTCTGGAGATCCGCCAGAGAGACCTCCAGGATGCGGCCCTTCAAGGCATCGTTGGCGTTCTTCAGACCAGTGGTTCTGTTGACCAGAGTCTTGCCGACACTAGAGGACGCACTTTGTCAGCAACCTTGATCTCGTTGGCCGTGGCTATTCTGGCACTCCGCTCTCGTTGATGTATTGGTATCGAATCTTCTTTTCGGATTGGCGGTGGGAGACTCACTCGCGAACGTTGAACGGGGCAGGCGCCTAGAACCTTGTTAGCAATCTTCAAATGCATGCATATGGAACGAAACTGCGAATTCGCGAAAACTCTTACCTTGATCTGGTACCAGTCCTTACGTGTGAAGGGGTCCACGGTCTTCTTCTTGAGACCCTTCTTGCCCTTGGACAATCTCTTGTTCCTGCAGTAGAAGAAAGCTGGTCAGCGACTGCCCATAGCGACCGACAGGCGAGAACATGACGCGCGGGCGCGCGCAAAACGCATTATCGTGAATTCGATCTCGGACTGCAGATTGCTTACTTTCCAACAGCCATTTTGGGCGGCTGCTAATTGTCTGGCGGATGAACGTTGAGTAGTTGAAAGATTTGGAGGGGTGGTGAATTCGGCTGGTGATAAAATTCAAGTCGCAGTGTTGTGTGGCTCGAAATTCTTAGCGAGTGTGCCCCGTCGAATTATGTAATACACACTTTGGAGGCATCGATCTACCGTGCGATTAGCCTTGGAAACTGTGCCAGCCCCTTCTCCACTGCTGTCAGTAAGTAAGGCACTTGTCGCAACAATCAACTATCCTGGTTCTGCTTAACACAGTATATCACGTGATCTAACAGTTTGCCCACTCATATGACACAGGAGCGAGCCCCAACTACCCCACTTGGACTAGGTCCTCAAGTTTGGAAAACATTGTCGGCTATTGGCTACGTCAAGAGCATTTGGGCGTCCCAACGTGGCTAATGTTGTGGAGACAAATGAGCCCTGTTCCCAGTCGTACGTTGTACTCGCGCACGATTGCGCACCCTACCTACCCATCCCACCAGATTCCTGCAGGGCAATTGTTCACCCACGATGACTTCTTACTGCAACGCCTGCTGGTTATCGTCAAGTCATTACATGTAACTCAATAATTCATATTTACTTTGGTTCTCTTTCAATTTCATCTACAGGTATTCCGCGCTGATCGGTACCTTGCGAAATAATCTCTTCGAAACCGGACGCCTGTCGATATATCCCCCCTGGGTTTCCTTACAATGGAAACATTCACCTGTCCCGTGTGGTGTGGTGTTGTGCATTTGACTTAGAAGCATCTAGTCTCACCACGCCAACGCCAGCCTGTCAACCTCCTTATCTTGGCCGACTCCAGACGGCGCTCCGAAAGCAATTCTTCCGTCCTGTGTTTACCGGTCGATCCCGTCTCTACATCAAGCACTTTGTGCCCGATGCTAATTAGCGCTCACTCGACCGCTGACTGGCCACCTCGTCGCCCAACTCTTTGGTCCATGTTGGCAATATGATCTCTCCGTAATGCGGCTCTGACTTCATACTGAGTTGTCGGATTACGTGGTCCGTTGTTGCTGGCTATCGTGCCTCACTCGTCTTTAGGCATACTTTCACCACCCGGCCCGATCCAACTCAGACGTCTTCTTTGTCATCGCTCCGCTGCTCTCCGTCCCAAGCGTCAAAGTTGGGAAAGCTGAAATAGCCGTTCGAGTCTGTCCAATGGTCGTCAGCAAATTGCCTAGGTTACGTCTGGAGAAGTGGCGAGAATTCACGGACAAGGATGGTGTTCCCGATGACCCTGTACACGGTTCGCTGTCGGAACAGCCATCTCTTCGGTGCTGAGTGAGGCCATCGGTGGTACTAAGTCCGAAGTAGGCGAGTATTCATGGGGCTGGCCCGAATAAATGGCCACCCGATTGAGCAGTTCGGTCGCCCTTTGGGACGATTGCGGACTCAATATATCGCCACGACTCGCATTGGATGTTGTTGTGATAGTTGGCTCCGTTGCGCTGGCCCTCAGTAGTCTTGGCCGGCGTTGGCGATCGGGGCGCGGCGATGATTCTCTCCGGCGCACACCATTCGCATCTCGCAAGTCCCGGGGAACGGCAGCCATGATGTTGATATCGGCAATGTCTCCGTCTTACTTTTGGCCTTTGCTTATATGTGCGTAACGGTCGGGCATTCGATTTGCCAGTCTTGATGGTGCAGCCGGCTTTGCAAAACTGCAATGACTCCTAGTGCGGGATGGTAAGAAGTCATGGTGCTAATCTTTTGCAAGCCCCCCGCCCTTTCATCTGGTGGGCATCGTGTGCATTATCAACAAGCCATCGATCGAGTCGAGTCCGGATCCCCGACGGGAACGTCGGTTTCTGGGGGGCAACCGTGTTCTGCTGACAAGTCTCAATTTGCCATCATTGGGCCACATGGCGGGTGCCTGATGAGGAACCCGGCTCCCAACTACTATGTGTCTGGTCATGTATGGGCCGGTGAGCTTCTGTTTGGGCACTTATACGCAAAGCCAATGCATGGCTGGCGTCACGCATGCAGCTATTGTGGAGATGCCAACCACTTCTTCGTCCAATTCCTGTCAGTTCCCGCTCATTCCCGTGCAATTCGAGTCCAATCCGCCCGCCGTGGCACTGCTGGACCGGTCAAGGAAGAGCGTTGGCATTGGCTAAGGACGTAGTTGCTGCAGTGTGGCAGAGTATATCCGCATGGGAATCTGCATCGCGGCGCCCACCCTGGTCAGCCTGCACACACGAGGTTCGGTCTAGCCCAGTCTCAACATCATTCACATATGGTTTTTTTTTTCCACGTTGATTGTATACTCGCTGCGATAAGTCTAACTGGTCTTCCCGTATACAATGTTGCATACACAGATTGCTGTAGTGACCCCGATGGGGGCATTCAACTTGCTCCCATCGGTTTCTCCTTGGCCGATTTCATTCTACGCTGGGTAATCTGCTTGCCGATATGCCTCTGGGCTGCAATGTTTCTGGCTTGGCCAGCGGGTTCGCGTTCCAAGGTCATTCTTCTCGTGCTTCGTCCCACCAATCATCAATACGACACAGGGCGAATGCACACACTCTGCTTTGTCTGCCCAACTATCCGGGGATCGACAATGACGCATATGTCTCATTTGGAGGGGGCGTTTCCGTCATCGGTTGCAAGAAGCATTGTCACCCCAGGGCTCGCCCGGCAATTTCTAATGGTCAAGACTGCGAGTACAACATCATCAGTCATCTTCTGCACCCACTGGGCCGGAACGAGAACAGAAGGAAGCATGGTAGGGTACTTACTCTTCCCACATTCTGCCTTGAACAGCTCTCAACTCTTCTTCTGTCATGCGCTTGCCGGCAGTGAAGTACCCTGCAAATATGGAATCAGTATCTCATGATAGGGTCAAGATTTTTGTATATCCGCATACCTGCAGTGATTTTTGCATCTATCTCGACTCGAGAGTCCGCTGGGATCAAATCTTCGGGCAGCTCGACACGCTCATGTATCGGAATTCTGGGGACTTGTTAGCAATTGCTCGAGCTACTCCCTTGCAATAGACAGCTGAATTACCCTTGTCCTACAATGGCATCGTGTTTCATGCTGGTGGTATGCTCGTCAGCACTGCTAGCTTGACGGATCAATGCCAACTACTCACTTGCTCATGCTGAGCATTCTGTCGATTTTACGGATACCAAGCCAGTGGAGGATATCAGGCATCAGCGCCTGGAACCGCATGTCCTTCACCCCCGCAATGTTTTCTGTCCTTTTGAAGTAATCGGATGCTCGGTCTTCACCCCGCTTGCGAGCATTGTACACGACTGCAAGGTCAGTTAGCGGAGCTGACACGATAATACCAATCCCGGCACCCCTTGTATTCTCCATACGAATCGGGCAACACGCGACGATCAGGGAAACACGTACGGTACTAAGAAAAGGTTAGCAACGTATGCTGGCATAACTTAGTTAAAGCACTGCTCACCTTGGTGACCTCACCGAGGGCTCTGCCCTCCTTTCGAAAATAAATGACAACGCCACTGCCGCCGTTCTGGGCCTCCTTGACTGCCTCTTCAATGCCGAAGATGAGATATGGACGGCAAGTGCAGATGTCGGAACCAAAGACATCGCTGCCATTGCACTATTCAACGGTGAGCAATTGCATTAGACGCAGTAGGCAGCTCACAAACCTCGTCGTGGATGCGCAGCGCCAGCCGCACCGACTCATCAGACATCTTGGCCGGGTCGCCGAAGCAGTAAACAGTAAGCCCCCCTAGTCATTTCAAGGATCAGTCCATCTTTATGTTCTGCCCAAGGCGCCTGATGGCTATGGTGTGCTCACCGATCGGAGGCAAAAACACCTTGATGTCGTTGCGGGTAATAAGCTGTTACCATCTGTTAGTAGAAGAACTCGCATCATGGTTGGGAAAGGGGGTTGCTGACTTCGGGGTAGCTGCCACCGGTGTGTTCAAAGAGAGATCGCCTTAGAGCACCCTCGTCTGTCCATGGTCAGTATTTGGTCAAAAGGTACAGGCGTCAACATACCGATTCCAAATCTCTCGGCCACACCAGGGAGGTACCAGACCTGGTGGAGTGTTGTCAGTTCGTCGCGAGTTTGAATTGTCAGGATGTCTACATACTGGTTCAACGGCGAATTTGGTCACAGCAAGCTCTCCGAGGTTGTTAAGGCAGACTTTACCATCGGGAATTCTGCCACCGGGTCAGTTGTCGGAAGAAATTTACAATGGGCCTCTTCGCTTACAATCGGCCGTTCTTTACACTTTCTTCTAGCTCAGGAAGCTACTATGTGTTAACCATGAAGGCAAATTCTGTTGCACGCAACTTCGCACCTTCATGTGTGCCTTTGTGATGGCTATCGTTGGGCGAATGTCGACTATCAATGGAATTTAGTTGAATGGTTCGCCGATGTGACTGGGGCGGGCTGTCCATTACCATTCTGCTTCTCAATTATGTCCTTGAATAGCCACGGGGCTAGATGACCCCAAGGATCCATGGCGACAATCTTCTTTGGGTCTCCCCATTGGGGAAACGGGCCAATCTTGGCGGCAGGCTCCGTATTGGTAAAGTCGGGTCTGGGACGAGTGAGCTTACGTAGAAGACCGAGGTAGGTTCTTTATAGGCTAACCTATGCTCCAGATTGAGCTGCTTGCTAGCAACGGCAAGCGCATAATAGATGGAATAAGAGCCGCCGCTGCGCATCACATTGTCAGCTGCGCACTCTGGGTGTAATATTTCTGTATCTTCCGCTACGAAGGGCTCTGTAGTTTCTTGATATACTCACTGGGCTGGATATATACGTTAGTTCAACGCAATCAAACCAATGCAGGGATCTTAAATACTTACCTCCAACAGCTAACGGCAGATATTAAAAGTCAGCCAGATCTGCACTCAATACGTAGCTTAGGGGGAATTGCAAGTCTACAGACCGTTACGTTTTCCAATCGTAGTCGAGGACCGGGAGACGACAACTGGTCCACGGGCGTGGGGATCTGCCTCGCCCCATTTCATGGGAAGCGGGTTGATACCAATCTGCTTTGGATATGTCCTGGCTCAACAGGGTCAGAGACTAGATAATGGCGAGCCGGGACGGGTGAGAAGGTGGCCAACGTACGTTAAAATGATTCGGGAGGTGAGGCCTGATCGCTGGCTGGGCGAGGAAGGCACAGCTGGAGCCTGCAACTTCAAGTCGGATGAGGAGCTTTGAGCCAAGTCACCAACAGCACCAGTCTCGGGGCGGCCGGGAGTGTGGGGTATCTCGGGGGCCTCGCCAAGGGATGGACTCGGGCCGAGTGCAGCGACATCGGCATCACCGGTCAGCTGTTGGTATCGTTGGTTTAACGAATCGACAGCAGCCACCAGGTCAGACTGTATCTGCTGGATGGATTTCAAGGAGCTAAGAACTTCGGCCAAGGAGCCGTCATTGGATGTTTGGTCGCTCATGACGATCAGTTTCTAAATGACACTCTATAGCACGAGAACACAGAGACAATGAAAGCTTGAGAAATGGTCGACAAGGGTCCGAGCGTGTGGCTGGGTGCTTTCCGTTTATTGTGACATTCCAATGAGTGTCGTCTAGAGGTGAGGGAATAAGGTGGACGAGTTTTGTGACTGCGGCGGATGAGAGGAGGGGGAATGGGAGATGAACGAGGAGGGTAGGAGGGGAGGTAGGAAGAGGAGAAATCAAGACAACAGAGAGGTCAGGGGCGAGTCTAAGTAAGACAAAGAAAGACAACAGGCGTCGAGACGTGAACGGCGTAGGGGGCAGGAGGGGAGACAAGACAAGTCGGTGACCACCGATGGCTGGTCCACTACTAACTAGTCAAGGATGTTTGATAGCTCTATCGCTTGCAAAAAAAGGAACGGATATGTAGTAAAGAGCATGAAGGGCGGGAGAGATGCGAGAAGCGCAGACGGACGAGCGAGATCCCATGACCTGTCGGAAGGCGCCGCGCATGCGCTTGGGGTTGACCGGAGGTGGGGGAAGGTGAGGGGTGAATGAAATGGTGTCAGGGGTAGCTCGCCATTACAGTGTTGGGGCAGGATGGAGGAACGAGGTTGGGGTCCATCTTTCTGGTGGGGAACCTTGCCAACCTACCTACCTACTTAGGTGCCTTCCTTGCCTTGTCTTTTAGCCTGGGTTGAACAAATTGATGAGCCAAGAGACCAACAAGTCCTGGTCCGTACCTCTCATTATTATTATTTACCACCTCACTAAGCTGAGCACACTGTGATGTCACTATTTGGCTTTGACTTTATTACCTGCGCCGTTGATAAGAATCTTTAGTAACGGGCGGTTGTCAAGGGGCGACGTTTGGCGATGTAGCGGAGCTACGGGGCCGCCCGGAAGGAGAGAACCACACCGCGTGCATTGATATATTAGACACAGCGTGCTTCGGTAGATAAGTTAACAGCATCGCCTGGTGCAGACTTCAACGTTCAAGATAGTCCTGAGCCACGGACACACGGAATCCAAAGCTAGCCGAGAGTACAGTTGTTACGGGTGGACAGCCCGTTTGTCACAAATTATTCAGATTGATAACAACTACGGATACATAAGTACTTGATAATAGACACTGTCCATTCTTAAATGGAGCACCTCGGCGAAACAGGTTGGGCATCGTTGCATCTAATCAGCGTGGCACTCTCCTGACCGAACTACCAGTGCCAGCAAGTCATCGCTTAGGCCAGATGAGACTACTTCACCTTGAAAATAATGGCAACAAGTCAACTTCTTTTGATTGCAGCATGGCATTATGGGAGGAGGTGCTGCTGGTATCTCAGGTACCTACCTAGGTTCAACTGGCCCTTCGATAACTGCATATCTGTAGTGTAAGATGGACGCATCTGGTGCGTACCCGACTTGCCAACAGCCTATCCACTACTAGTATACGGGTATGTAGGTACTCCGTACACAATCCACCCATCTACCACCCCACCAACTGAGACGACGTATCAATTGCGTGATTACCTAAGACCGCAAGTGTGGCTGGGTTAGCCACCCCGCCTTCTTTCTCCGATAAGACTGGCTCTGCTTATCTGTCGCGTGAGAAGAGGCTTCCAGGTTTTGTCTAAATCTACTAGCAACGTTCATCTCTTTAACTCCGTTGACTGGAGGAGGTCCAGCGCTCTTTCGTTGGAAGACGAGGACATACACTACAGTGCCAAAGATAAAGGGGAAAGACCCAGTCGCCTTATTACGTCACGCAATCGACTGCACCTTGCTGCCTGCCTGACCTCACTTCACCACCTAAGTCACTAATCTCTTATTCGGCACTTGCACCCCCTCGGCCTGCACTTCTTCCGAATCTAAATCGTCAACCTGCGCCTGCGCCTGCGCATAGCAGTAGGGTCAGCCGCTCTGCATTATCACACGCGCCAACTAGGCCTAGTACCAAACTTGAGCGCAAAGACGGCATCATGGGCAAGCGCAAGAGCTCTAGCAAGCCTCAGGGTCCCAAGAAGGTTCGTCCATTCACAGCCTTGTATTCCGTCTACGCATTTTGGATGTCAAGGCTGCAAGGTAGCCTACGCTACGCCACGCCAGGTTTCAGTCACTGATGTGTGCCACAGAAAGATCCACTCCCCTCCAAGTTTACATGCCTCTTCTGCAACCACGAAGACTCCGTTGCTGTAAAGCTAGATAAGAAAGCGGGTGTCGGTTCACTGGACTGCAGGGTATGCGGTCAAATGTTCCAGTGCAGCATCAACTGTGAGCTCTTATACCTTCTATTAGCTGGGCGCTAGTGCTAAACTATGCAGACCTCTCGGCAGCTGTGGACGTGTACGGTGAGTGGGTAGACGCAGCAGGTAAGTTTGACACTATCTTCCTCAACACACATAGGGCATCTGCATTCCGCGGGGCTAGTAAAGAGTATACAACTAACCCATCAAAGATGCCGTTGCCAAAGAGGCAGGACCCACCGCTGGAAGCCAAAGCAAGATCCCTAGCGCCCGCCGCGCACCCCCAAGCCGACCGGTGAACGACGACGACGACGACGACGATCAGAGATATGGAGGTGAGGGTGTTGATTTAGATGATGACGAATACTAGGTGATCAGGTGTCTTATTCTGACGTACAACGAACTTCGTTGACGAGGCAGGATCCAAGTCTTGGGTCACAAGGGGACTGCGGAAGCAGCGCGAGGAAGACGAACGAGCAAGATCTCGTGACCATCCGAGTTCCAGGCGAGCATGACGATCCCTGGGCAGCTAGAGCCCGCTTAGACGGTGTAAAATCTGTCGCCGAAATCGCCAAGGCCGGGAATGATGTAGCTGTAACAGCATCTTAGCAACGATACAAGAGCATCGCAATACTCAAACTCACTTCTTCTCGTCCAACCCCTACAAGCATGTTAGTCTATTGCGTCCGTCCGGTTCAAGGCTGATTCGTGCTTACCTGGTCAACAAATGCTGTGACAACCCTGAGCTTGGGGAACTTGGCGGTGAAATTCTGAATGCCCTCAGGGCTGGCAATAAGGTTCAGAAACAAAATACGGTCCTCGGGAACACCTCTGGCCTTGAGAACCTGCACGGCCATGATAGCGGAGCCGCCGGTGGCGAACATGGGATCCAAAAGAAGCACCCAGCGCTGGGCGATGTCATCTGGCAGCTTGTCGTAGAAGAGTTTGGGTTGAGCCGTCTCCTCGTCACGCTGGATCAGAATCTTGCCGATCCTCACAGAGCGGCAGCAGTCCCGCAAGCCTTGCTCCATGGCCTCGCCAGCGCGCATGATGGATACGCCGCATATCTTGCCCTGAAACATAAGACCAGAGTAGGTCCTACCAATGGGTGTTGTCACATCGTGCTCGACGGTGGGCAAGTGATTCAGACCCTCTTCGACAAGCAGGCGAATGATGCGATTGGAGTAGAAGATGAAGTCACCACGCTCAGTGTTCCTATCTCGGATGATGCTATGTCCAGACGAGTAAGTCAACTGTGATACTTGGACAGAAAGGCGAGCTTGAGCGTCCGCCAAATACCACTGGCCTTGAAGTAGCTACCCTAGTGCCGAAACTGATATGGTAAAGCAAATTTGAAATCGCATCATGAAGTGGGCTACTTACGTGAGGAGGGCAATAAGCTGGGGCGTCTGGGGCAAGATAATAACGTTGTCAGAGTTGATCTCGGTGGAGACCGTTGCCGTGGGCTTCTGGCTTTCCGAGCGGTACAAGGGGCCGACGCATTGCGTCGGACCGCCGCCGACGGCGGACTTGGGGTCTTGGCTAGACATTTTGGAACAGTTTGACTGTGGCTTGGATTAGACAATGTTAAGTGGGAGCTTTCAAGCGACGTATGTAGGGAGGGATTTGAGAAAGGACGACAACAATGAGGTATTTGGGGGGCTGCAAGGGCAGGATTGAAGTTCAGGGATCGTCCAAAGGCTGCGACTTGGTCTACCCTATGGCACAGGATCGAAGGGGTGCAGAAATTGCGGTTATGCTATCGCAATCTTTTCATAAAAGGAAGAAAGAAAACAGACAGAAAGAAAAGCGGCCTACCACCCGAGGATTGGAGTTAAAGAAGGGGGCAGAGAAGAGCAGCCGTCTTTGAACCTTCGAATGTTCAACGGCCGATATAAAATGCGCAGGAAAGCCCCCAGGGTTCAGCCAGAGTATCACGAGACACAGTGAAATGGAGCTCGCCGTCTACCGTCACTTTGGTCGGCCAAAGTACAGATTACCTCGAGCCAATCGGTAATAAAAATTTAAAAGTGGGAAACAAGGTGGGCAGGTCAATGGCAAGATGAAGATGGGGATAGATAAGTTGTGTGGGGACATTCTTTCCAAACTAACATACCTTGCGGAGGGGTTCGAAGCAATACCAGGACACTGACTTATCACCAAGCGCCCCAAATTCAGAGTGAGATGTGGGACTACTGTATATACCTTTACATATATGTAATTAAGGCAGTTTATGGGCAAGCCGGGGGCCTCAGAACGCACCGATACGTATCTTCTCGAAACTGATATCCACAAATTCGGCAGGAGCATCCTTGGGCAACCACAGCGAGAAGGAGATCTGACCCAGACGGAAAGTAGAACCCGCTACGTTGCTGCTTACCATACGCCGAGCGCCACACTCGAAACCTGTAATTAGATTGTTCCTCATGAACAAATTCGAAAAGAACAACCTCACATCAACCATCAATCAAGTCAAATGCGTCAAAACGTACTTCTCTTGTGAAATTATAACTGCCCTTCTCACATTCTACAAGACGTGCAGGCTCTGTTAGACATTGCGCCTGCAGCCTTTTATGAAGGCACTTGAAGGCAGCTTCAACTCGTTCTTTCTGGTACCTCATCTACAAGTGCCTCCTTAGCTCGCTTCCGCGTCGAACACCGCCTGGCAACACCACCCGTCCATCCGCTGCGCCTTCCTTGCCTTGCCTTTAGAAAACAACAACCCCACGCCTACCAGAAACACCGGCGCCCATCTCATCACCTCCGCCTCCAAACCCGCGATTACCTCGTCTTTCCTCATCCTGCAGGGAGCACATCAACTGGCACCGCGTCCTCCCTGCTACCAACAGATTTTCCTGGAAACTTGCATAAAGCTAGCCGTAAACGCACCTGTACTAGGCTGCGACACACGATGGCTACGAGAGAGGGGCCGAGCGTGCAGCGCAAAAAGA